AAAGCCACAAAAAGAAAAGGAGAAAAATCAAGAAAGAATAAAAATGAAAAAACCCCAAAGACTGCTACTACTATAACTAAATAATAATGATTTTTTTTTCACGAGAATGCTATTAAAGGCCCCCAGTCAAAACTGAGACTCCATTCTGCAATATGCTCAACAAACGAATAATCACATAGCTCTTGAGGAACTACCTGAAATTTGTATATGTCATTTAGAGAAGTCTGTGTAAATAAAAAGATTTACTGTCCAGCAGTAGGTTAACTGCACTTTCTTTAGCAACTTACATTCATTGCTTTTCTGCAATTACCTGTTATGATATATAATTAATTATATATTCTATTGTATATTATATTTATATTCTTAACATAAATAATATCATCCTCCTGCTAACGATGACTGCAAATGCATAACACAGAAATTAATAATAAAATAAATAGAAAAAAAATAACCCACTACTGACCCACACAGTAAGGTGGTGATTGCCATTTTCCTTCTATACATGTTATTTCTTTCACACCGATGAGCTGGAAACTCTTCAGACATGAAAAAGCTATTTTACTTCCATGCTTGTAATTTCTTCCAACTGTTATCTGTTGAGCACTGGGCACTTGAGGTGGAGGTGGGCATGTACTCTCCTCAGCTAAGGACACATACTCATGTTATACTAGCACATAAGTTAAAATGTAACAGTCCATCACAGATTTAAACACTAACAACCAAGAAAACACTGGCAATAATTCTTCAGCAGCTATCTCATACTTTAATCAATACCATGATCATTTTGTTCTGCTTCAGAAACACCAGAGCTGTCTCCAGATGCTCATATGCTTTTTACCTCGTTGAAAAGAGAGTCACAGTTGCCTACACCAATCTAAGCTGGAGCTTCTTGTAGTCCCTCCTTTCCCTTACACACAGCTACACATTCCTGTGTGCTCTCCCCATTTGTCTCTCTATGGTGAACTATTTTATGAAAACTGGACTAACTTCTGGGGTTCTTGTTTTGTTTTGTTGTTGCTTTTTTCATCAGACTTAGCGGACAACAGAGCTAAATGCGAATCACCAATGGAAACAAAGAAATAAACTTCAGTTTTCACACTCAAGGAACAAAGGGCCACTCCTGCCAAAGGAAAGAAAAAGTGAGGGAAGGAGGTAGATCTAGGAAGGAGGAGACCTCAGGAACTTTGTTTGTTGCTTCTAGTGGTTCCAGAACACTTGGAAGGTAAGGACATTTGGTTTTGAAGGGGAATGCTCCCTGGAGTGATTGCCACTCTGTGCACTTCTCCCACTTCCACGCATCATTTCCCATGAATCTGGTGTAACCAAAGCAGGCAATGAGACAATGATTGTTTTACAATCATGCCTTCTACAGGTAATATCCTGCTCTGCTATACATAAAGGCAGTCCTGCAGGCATCTGACCTTTGGTGTGTATTAGGTAAGGGCAGTCCCCTCTAGGTCTGTGCTTTGGAGTTGGCCAACTCAGTTTTTTTCTTGTTCTTTCACTAGGAAGCAATTGGAAAAAATAGAGGGAAAAGAAAAAGAAAAATCAGGAAAAGAAAAGCTTTGAAGGTTTACAGGAAATAAAGGAACTTTGGCTGGAGTGTGAGCTATGTGCTACTCTCGTGTGCACCAGGGTAAAAACCTTTTGAAGATCTGAGCTTAAATTTACCATTGAATCTTTTCTCACATCAGAAGTGATAGTGACAATGGTTCCTATAGTCAGAGTAGAGATGATTAAGTCTTCCTCTACTAAAACAGTGCGCCTCTAAACCTAGTTAACTGTTGAAAATGTTCCCATAATTATTCATGACTATCCTTTAGCATATAATCGAGTAACCATATATATAAGTATGTAAGCATTTTTATTTCAGACTAGTGACACAGTGATACTAAGAAGCTTTAAGAAAGAGCATTTATCATTCCTACATAAAAAGAAGAAATTGTATGCAAATCTAAAAACATACCTGTACATTCAATCTCTGGTAACCATTTTCCAGACACACATGTTGCCTGTTTAATACTTTTGTCAGCTGATGTGCATATATACTGTATAACTCCATGGAATGTAGTCTTCTTTTTTGTCCTGGAAGGACGACCATTGTGCACAAGCTCAACGCCCATTGGAAGTACACACTGAGGAGATGGATCTGAAAAAATCAACAAACAAAAGCTAATAAAAAATAGATTTAATTTGGATAATACATACATATGCATTCACTGATGAAGAGGTCATCAGTTTCCTTATGCATGTCCATGTGAAAGTGTTTTTTTATTTACTGTAGTTTGAAGTAACTCCTAAGATTCCTAGATTAAAGAAACAGAGTGAGGTTTTTTTTTTTTGTTCTTGCTGCCTAAAGTAGAGACTGTTCCCAGTCACAAAGCAACTATTTTTATGTTGACAGGATCCCTTTTGCTGAGTGCAGGAAATAATATAAAAAGTAAACATTTTTTTCTTCCCTAAAACTATAAAAAGATATCAAGATGAGAAACCTTTTGCTTTTAGAAACAGGAGCATAAAGGAAGTACCAGACCACACCAAATACGTACGAGGCATCAATCTCCTGTGGAAGTATATCTAAATTCTGATTCTGAGAGTCAGGACACAAGGCACTTGTGAAAGCTAAGCAGACTGTGTTTTGTACCAGATTCAATCACCATAACTGTAAATAAAGGTACAGTGTACACAAATCACTGATGAATATAAAAACGCTTCTGAAGAAAGGGGGAACCAAGAATTGGATATATCATAAACTCTATTCTGTTAAAGATAAGTGAAGTGCCACAGTAATTTATCCTAGACAAGACTCCTTCTTGTCCAGTATTGCTTTTTTCTTAAATTACTGACTTCAACGTAATTTTTTTTTCCTTAGGAAAAGGGTTTAGTTTATATCTTTTTAAAAGACATTATTTTCATTCAATTTATGCACTGCAAAACTAAATGGGAAGATGAGAAAAAAGAGAAAACTACTGATCAGAAATGAAAAGTACTAATCCACATAAAAATGGTGAGGATGGGATAAGCCTAGCACATTGTGGCTACTAATAGTATTTTAAATTCCCAGCAGGATTTTACAAAACCAAAGTACTATACAGAGACATAAACTACAAGCAATTAACGCAACAGGCAGGCTACTTTATTGCAGGTATGTTCCAAGGCTTCTGAAGGGTCGTTATCAGGGAGGAACACTGGAAAATGGGTAAAAGCCACCATACACCAAAGACGTACCCCCATACTTGATTATACCCATTGTGCAAGTGTCTGTTTCCTTCCCCAAACCGACTCAGAGCGCTTACAAAGTTGTAGGTGCAGAGTCTTTCCAGGATGAAGGACATGTTCACATTTAAAAGAGGAGTAAATAAAAAAACCCAAAAACACCCTTAGTTGAGATTCATCAAACTATAGTATCTCTGGCTACATACTGATTGCTGAAGTCCTTGAAATTTTGAATAGCACTGTGTTACACTCATATCCGAAATATTATGGAAATATCATGGAAATAGATTACCGGCACAAAGAGGTAAAGGCTTCCATTCCCCATTAAGACATTTTATTTTCATTTCCTCAGAATTGCCAGAGCCTTTTTTACATCCACAAATTACTTCATCACCATGTGAAAACTGGGTCTGGTCTTCCTGATGAAGAACAACATTCGGAATAGAGGAAGGTGATCCACATGGCGTTTTGTCTTCTGTTGAAAAGAGCAGAAGTATTCCACAATAATATTGGAGTCATATATGAATAGCTGAAAGAACTTAAATAAAAGCTATCTTTGCATTTGGTGAGTCAAACCTATCCCCATTAATTGTAACAACTAAACTTCAACACAGCTGTAGTATGTATATGTTTTAATCAGTTCACTAAAGCTCTCTCCTGTCTTTTCCCTTCCTTTCAACGAATGTCATTGACATTCAAACTCTCAGGTTTGAGGTACACTACCCAATGATGTGCACAGAAAGTGCGTGCTTTGGCAGGAGACTTGACTGTAGAACTGTTCACCATTTCAATAGCAGGACTATAAAAAACTGTTGGAGATGTCTGACTAGCTTAGGGAAGACAGCAACATACATAGTGCACTCATAGTCACCGTGTTTGTAGCCCTGTGCCCCAGTAACATACAGTATTGCCATTGTTAGAAGAGGCCACAGAGTTTGTACCAAGCTTGTGAGGCCTCAGGATGGAGGCTTATGAGGCTGACTTTGTCAGAACCTGTCTGGACCTGCCTGGAGGCTTGGTTTTACTTACTTTAGCTGTAACAGACTTTCTCTAGTGATCAGGCTATAGCTAATTTATTTTACTTTTGGTTATCTCTGTATGGCACAACCATAGTTTTGTATACATAGCAGTAACAAGTTTTTGGTCTATGTAGAGTGAGCAATTATGACTCTACTATAATTATGTGGGTTAATACAGGGCTAGTATGACAACAGAGTCCTTGAGAAGTGGGGACTGAGGTTGCGTGTGGCAGAGTAGAGGCATGGGATGGTAAGAGACAGGGAAGAGAGCCTGGCACCCCCATGGCTATGAATAGCTCATAAAAGGGCAGCTTAGACCTGGAGATGATCACAACTGGTTTTAGGGGTAACACAAAGAACAAGTATGTAACATATTTAAAACGAACTTAACATATCTAATTCAGAACTTGTAGACCAGTGAAAAAAGGGCAAGGCATAAAAGCATGCTAGCAAACCTAAAAAATGCCCCAAGCAGATCCTGTAAGGAGAAAGAGGAAATCATCAGCATCAACCTTGCTCCCAGTAAATGACTTGAGATACTGATAACTTCCCTCCAAAACACACCAGACTGAAGCCATTGACTTTAGGTCCCAAAGGGACAGTGGAAGGGTAAGCATAACACCAGAAAAAGGGGTAAATGAGAGAAAGTGTGTGTATAACAATTGTAATTATATATTATAAATTATTTGTATTACTTAGATACTCTGTATTATTTATATATTTATAATTATTCTTTATATATTATGTATTATTTTTTTCTCTTTCTGTAATCCTCACAAAAATTCTTTCATTGGACTGTTAAGATTTCAATTATACTACTGATAAAGTTTGGGTTTTACATATAGTGTGTGTTTACTTTTCATCCATATCATGATTTTGAACATAACATGTTACACCTGCAAATATGTAATTTTAATTGTGAAAATATCTGTGAAGCATTATCCTACAGTGAATTCTAGCCTTCTCACAAGTAAGAGTTATATAGATTACCAGTGCAAGAGGGAGGAGATGACCATTGTCCATCAACACATTCTATTTCCTTTGATCCAACCAATTTAAATTCGATGTGGCATTCATATTGCTTTCTGTCCCCATGCTGATACTGGTCCACAGAGCCACCAGCAATACTTCCATTGGTAATCTCAGGTGGAGGTCCACAGCCTCTGGTGTTTGCTGAAATCAAGAGATCAAATCTATGCTCTGAACTCAGTACTTGTAGCACAGTTACACGTTAAGTGCAACACAAAATAAATTGAATTTGTTGCTTAAATCTAAGAAAAATCAGTAGAACAGTTCAACAGGCCATTAGTTTATGCCTTTGAATATCTGGATTTGCTTTGGGCTGGAGATCACAAACAGATATGTGTGACCCTGGCTCACCCTACTCTTTTACTTCCATGCACTGCCAATTTCCTGCTATGATAGAAGAAATGGTTGATAAAACCAACCCAGTTTTAAGAGAAAAAAGCATGTTACATGGAGGACATGGAGGACAACTTCAGTATTCTTTAAAAATAAAAAAAGGTAAAAATTCTGCAAGTAATAATAGCCTACATTATAAAAATCACCCAGCAAGTGATATGTACTGTATATTAAAGGAATTAACTTCTGATGGAGTGCACGGAACTCCTGTTAAGGGAGCTTAAAATGTTCCTGAGCTAAGGAGCTAACTATAGGAAATACACTTGTTTTTAAATGCAAAAGAGAGTGCCCCAAAAAGGGTGACAGCATGGAAGACAACAAGGAAATTGATCGAGTGGGAAGGAAAGGAGATGAGAAATATGAGATCCCTTCATCCTCCCAAGCTGCCTCATGAAAGGGCCTAGCACCAGCAAAATAAACTCCTTTCAGATGGCACTAAGTTGTGCTCTGTCTTAAAAAGGATGAGAAGAATAGGGGCATATATCCTCCCTTCTGCATGAGTTTGCTCATACTACTGCATGAAGCTGAGGAATTTCACAGGGAAAACTCTTCACTGCGCCATTTCCAAAACAGCTTTTTTTCTTCAATACCATGTGATCAGAAAAAGGAACATAGGGTACAGTATCTGATGGGTATCAATATTAGGCAGTGACAAAACTTAGTACATTTAGGATACAGTAAGAGAGGATATTACTCAAATTAATCACTCCTAATCACTCACACTGCTATATTGCACATTATTTATGCCTTTTTGAATAATAAATATTTTTCATACATTACAGTCAATAACCTCAGTGACGTTTTGCGCAAGCCATTTACCAGCTCACTTTCAGTTACTGCAGAACTCCAATTGGCATAACTAAAGCTAACAGAAAGTTCAACACTGAAAGTTCAACTGTTCAGAGTCTTTCACATAAAATAGCAAAACACTATGAAATGATTCAAAGAGGACCAGTTCCTGCCCTCTTAGAGACTAGGATGGGATAATTGTTCTTGGGTGCAAGACTGGCTTATAGAAAGTGTCTGCAGAAGTCTTCAGGACCCAGGCATTTTCATGTATTTCCTACTACAGTAAAGTTAACAGAATTACCTTTACACACTGGTGGTGATGGAAACCATCCAAAGTAATAGCACTGAGCAGAGGCAGGTCCAACTCTCACGTAATTGTTTCCACAGGTAAATTTCACAACATCTCCATTGTGGTATTTACCCTCCTTGGGAGAAAAGTCTCCATTGGGCAATATCAGCATTTCACATTCTATTGCTGCAAAGACAAAATATTTTAACATATAGTGTACACTCTACTAATGATTAGAACAAAAACAAAGAAAGTCTTAAAGAAAAAAGCTTTACAAAGTGTATACAGAGTCACATTGATTAGCAAACACAACAATATTCACCAAGACACTGGGGCGTTGGAATCCATTCACCATTTATGCCACACCTTGTGGTACCAGTTGGCATATTCTTTGCTGTTTGATATCCTTCCAAACATGCATACTCAATTGTATCTTCAGGCATGAACATAGTTTTATTTGTGTGGTAAATCAAAATGTCCAAATCAGGTGTTTTACATGATTCTGTAGAACAAAACAAAGTTAGTGCATTTTGTGATCCAGAAACACTGTCCTTTGGAACCATCATTTCTGTAGTTGCTTGCGTGTGTGCTAGTCTACTGAACTACTCAGCATATTTGAAACATTAAAAATTCTGCATTGCCAGAATATGAATGTAGAATATCATATATAGCATATTCACGTAATATCTATTGCATTAATCTTCAGAAATATGTCTATAGAAGTAATATCTAGTATAAATATTTCTTCCTTAGATTCAATTCCTTTCCTTCTAATAATATCATCATTATTATTATTATTATTATTTTTATTATCATCATAGCAAACAGTTTGTACTCCTGCTCCCCATGGTCATTTGTGAGGGGGGTCAGAAAAAAAGCTGCAAAATCCTAGGTAAAGGCAGTCTGAAATAAAAGGGCAAGGTAAAATATCAGCTAAAGTTGGTCAATATTATGAGCCTCAGTATTGTAACACTGGAAGTAATATTACACTCCTACTCAGGAGAGAAAGGAACTTCTAAGAGGAAAAAGGCAACAACAGTATGGAGGTATTTTCAGGAAAAAGCATTCTAGTGTTTTTCACAAATGTACGTTTTAAGACCAGCGCAGACACACGCATAGTGCTTTTTATGCATATTGATAACGTGTTTCCAAATAATGAATCCCATTTTTCTCTAGTTTGGTCACATTTAAGGAAAGTTCTTGGCAGAATCCCTTGGTTCAGAGGCATTTCTTCATAAATCTTCCCTCACAAGTGTGAAAGGGGGGAGAATTGGGGGTAAATTGCGGTATATGTACCTTGTATCAGGTAAGAATCACTGGAGAGGTCAGTGATTACCCTCTACTTCTTTCTAGAGGTCCAAAAAGATAGCTCGCCTAGAAGAAAGTAGATATTTTCCTGCCTTATTCATTTCCTTTATGTTTTCTCCATATTTCTTGGACCCCCAGAAAGGTTAATCTCTGGAGGATCAGTCCTCTGCTTAAGTCTCCCTCTGTCCAGTAAGAAAACTCTACCAATCTAGATGACAAAAATCTGAGTACCTGGGACATCATGTCTGTGTCAGTCACAAATGATAGGGAGCTCTGAAGCCTTTACGCTACTCACTGATACACTTTGGATATGGAGTCCAGCCATTCTCTTGACACCGTGTCACTCCTGTTTCTTGTCCTTCTGGACTTACAAAGCCAGAACGACAACTATAGGTCACCTCCTCCCGTAAATGAAATATTGTTCTTGCCAAGGTGAAATAACCATTGTCAAAATTGATAGTCTGGCATTTTTCTGAAAGAGACAGACAGAATTTCTTCCAAGTAAAACGCTGCTAAACTACAGGCTTATAATACACAGAAGAAGGAGGACAAATGAAACAGCAGTAGGATTTAAAACATTTTTAAGAGCACATGAATTTTTGCTTCTGCATTGAGCTCTTTTCCTGGGGAACAACCGGAAAGTGAAAAGCTGAAGTTCACAGTGACCAATTAGCGCAGCACAAACAGGGATGGATAGGGGTTTGATTTGCAGCAATCCTGTAAGCTTCCAAAATTGTATGTCCACATCTGGTCTTCACTAGAAATGAAATTCATGGTGGGCATGCACTGCACTGTGCATGCATAAAGAGGACCTTTGGTCCGTATTGCAAGGGGGGCACACCAGAGATCACCATGGTGTGCAGGTACCACCTCACTTCTACAAAAGAGAATCCATTCGGAGTGCACCTACTGCAGGACTAAAGTAAATATAACAAGATTTCACTACTGAAGACAAAAGAACTATGACTCCCATTCCAGAACTTATATTCCAGGAGATCTGCATGAGCCATGTGTGGACATTTCACAGGGTTACATTCTGCACGTTTGTATAGCAACTGACCTCAGCAGCATACAGTGACATGAGAGCTGCAGGAACCAGTTGAGAGAATCATAGCATTGTGTTTCCATTGTAGAGCACCTAGACTTAGAGTTACTAAGTAGTGGTGACAGATTAATGTAGGTGATGTCATGATGATTTACTAGTTTTAGCGAGAAACCCCAACAATATACAAGAGCACTCACTTTTACGTATACATCTTGGACGAGGTGACCAGCCATCCTTTGTGCATGTGACTTCCCCATCTTCATGTTCAGTATGATAGTCCATGGAGCAGACATATTTAACTCTTTCACCTTCTGTGTAAACACTCTGTCTATGTACGAAATTACCGTTTTGCAGCTGTCTAACATGACAATTTTCTAAAGAAAGAAGGTAAGTGCATTTAAGCATAGTAACTTGTACAGCAAGAACTGAGGTAAATTAATTCTTAGGAAGACAGTTACTAAAAAAGGACCTCCTAGCACCTTTCTGTATCCTTCTATCCCAAAGACATTCGTGTTCAAACCTGAATGAAATCATGTTTTTTTTCACTGCCCTAAGATTAATGAATCACATGAACAGGAGTGCAAGTCACTATACAGAGGGCTAAGAAGTGGTCTAGTAAACAATATTGCTTACCTAGTGTTCATAAGCAAGGTTGGTTAACTTCAGTGCCTCTAGTGTCACATACACCAGCTCTGGTTTGGTCTGCTATGTCTCTAAAATGTTGATGTCTGCCCTGAGTGATTTTCCAGCATTTGCTTCCAGGAGATTATATCATCGCTGTGCAAATGTACCAGCCTCTCGAACCAGGTGTAGAGATTTTAGCAACCGCTAAGCACACTGGCTCTACAGCATCCTGTGCCCCCAAGAGCCCAGAACAAGGAAGATGGCTGAAGGAATGCTATAGCTGTGTTACTTGAGTAACTGATCCTTTCCTCCAGGCTGGACTCCACTCATTTCCTGCACTGAGCACCACTCCACTGAGGGCAACAGGGAAAGACCAACCTTTTGTAATCCACTTCCAAGCCCTACTAGTAGGTAAGTACTTTACTGTGACTGAAGATGTGTGTTAGGAGAGGAGGCCTCAGATTTACATCTATTTACAATAGATGCTTTACATCTGTTTTCCATAGTTCAAACATTAAGTCTGGATCTCTTGCTGATGCCATGCTCACTTTCAGCTTATTGCAAGTGTGCCACCTTCTCAGGTCCAAATGTTATCCAAAGGGACCAGGCAATGGATCTCAGAGGAACCTCTAGACAAAGTGCCCAAGCCATGGAAGGAAGAGTATGTTTACATAGAGTAGAAACTCTTTGACTGCGCAGCTGTGTGAGCAGATGAAAGTAGATGCATGCACATGACCCAGAAATCAGAGAAGAGAAACATTTCCTGTGTATTTCTTAATCTCATGGATAGTTTCAGGAGTAAAGAATCTACAAAATCCAAAAGCACTGTTTCAGCCTTACTCACTTCAGAGTGTCACTTCCCAACTGACAGTTAGAGCTCTGCAGATAGGATGATAGTCTGGGTGCAGTTCCAGGGGTCAACTAAAGCAGTTCTACTTTAACAAACTGTTCTTTGTTCTGTATGTGCTCCATTGGCACAATTTCTGCTGCACAGACTTTTGATAATTATAACAGAATTCAGCATATAGTGGAAATGTACTTACTGAGGCATTTTGGCTCTGGAGACCAGCCCCTTTCAGAACAGACCATTCGAACCCAGTAGTGTCCACTCGGGGTTGAATAACCATTATTGCAGTGGTAATCAGCATGCTGCCCAAACCTCATGGGAAAGTAATAGTTTTTGTGGTATTCCAGTTGTTCACTTAACTTGCCATTTTCTATAGCTGGGTAGTCACATGGTTTCTCTTGAAATAGAATTTAACAGTAATAATATCAACACATGCATGACAAAAAGCTCAGGACACAATTAATTCAGACTCAGCTTCATCACCTGAGTGTTTTCTGAAACTGCCAGAATCAGGACAGCACACCCTGGCAGATCCTCAGGAGTCCAGGAACAATTACACTCTGCTTCTGGTGTCTTTGTCATTGCCTACACCTGTGTTGGTTCCCCCCGTTTCCATTGCAAGCAATAGAAATCCAGTCAATATTCTCAGTGGATTCCAAAGCCTGATTCATGAGACCAAATCTAAGTATTGATTCTACAGTGAAAATACACTGTTTTTGTAGAGTGTCTTGACTAAATTTACTATGCTGACCATGTTGGGAGCCCAGACAGCTAGCTCAGATATAGACACTGGACTATGGACACTTAAAATTGAGATTACTCCTGTCACCATTTTCATTTGTAGCATTTGGGATTCTGCACAAAAGCTCTTCCTAGCTCTTCTCATTTTTATTTTAAAACTATAGCGTTTTTTTCTTCTGTTCTCTCAGTTCCTCAAAAGAACTGACCCTTTCCAGGGACAAGTCAGTGATAGAAGGAGGAGATTCCCAGAAGCTTTCATTTAAATTTACCCTTGGCCATGGCAGGTAGGCTTGTCCTGAGGTGCTCTGACCCAGAGCCTACATACTGGGGCAGGGGAGATCACCCACTGGACAGACCATTGAATAATAAGTGAGGTGGTCTCAGAATGATACCTGAATATTAGAACCCACACATACACAGAGGAAAGATTAAACCAAGTACGAACAGTGAATTTTTTTGGAATAGTTCAAATCATCCCAAGATTCATTTACAAGAATGATTTCATCAGGGTTTCTCTCACGTTCTGTTTTCTAAGTTTTCCATTTATTTTCAGTGACCAAAGATCAAAGAGTGCTAGATTATGAAATTAATTGCTAATTTATTGATTGATTTATTTGTTAATACTGTGCCTACTGGGCAAAACTACCATTGTAGTTATGGGAAGTTTAAGCCAAGAAAGAACTTGTAAACAAACAAGAATATCTTGTTTTGTTATTTGACAGGTTATGATAAGTAGAATAAAACTGTGATTGGTCATAATATACCAACATACAACTGCAAGTAAAAATCTAAAGCTGTGGTAACTATGAAGAAAGATAGCTTCCAACCATTACCTATGTTTTGTTTTGTTTCGGGTACTTTAACACTCACTATGTCCTCTTATTTTCACTGGCATGCTAATCCTCAGGTGGACCACAAACCTTCCTGACAGAGCTGACTATATCACTTTTTAACACATACTTTCACAAATACAAATTAAGCTTTACGTCATGAAGAAACACAATGAATGAGCAGCTCTCATTTCTCATGCTGCTTAGGTTTTTCTCTTGACCTCCTTTTCACTGAGATATTTCCAGCAACTCTACATGTTCTGTCTTCATTCATGAGAGCTACTTACGGACACAACTTGGATCAGGTACCCAGCCATTCTTGGTGCATTCAGCTGTGCTTCTGCCAGTCAAAATTTTAAAATGATATCCAGGATTACACTGTATTGTGATTGTATCACCTAATATGTAGTTGGCTTCTTGAGGTCTAAAGCTCCCATTGGGAATTCTTGGAGGAGAGCATACAATTTCTAAATAAAAAGAGAAAAATTGGATGCTAATTTGAAGAATATGTTTATATTTATTGCATAAGTTCTTATTTTCATACTATATTGACCATAACTGCATTAAATTGTTAAAAATATGTTTCTTAGGACAAAGAAAAGGTTGCATTTCTCTCCAGCTCTTAGAAATGTATGGTTCTATAAGAAGAGAGTGACAGCTGTTACAGATGTTATGCTAATTAGAAGATTAAAACTTAATTGCAAAGAGAATAGGTGGAGCAAGAACTAGAGGTGATCAAACTGAATTTGACTAATCTTTTCCAGTAGGTCATTCCACAGCTGGAGCTCAAAATGACCTATGCTGGGCTCACACATAGCTCTCCTGGGCTGGTTTACAGACACTGTCCCAAAGGAGGGCAGGTTCACTGGCAGGACCTAAATGGAAAAATAACTATACTTAACTAGGAACTGATCATTCAAAGGCTGTGTGATTAAGATGAGGGTCTTGCACTTACACTGGAAGTATTTCAACAACCGAGAAAGGATGAGAATGCTATTCTAAAAAGCTCACGATATCTTTATGCTTGGAGAAGCCAGGCAAACATATTATTTATAAACCCAAGCCTGTCTTTTGAGGCTTTTTGTATTCTGCTTCCTATTTAGAAAATATTACCAACACATTCAGGGCTGGGAGAGGATGACTATAAGGTAATTGCAGGTTGGTTTTGCTGTGGAGTGAAGGTGGGTGAATCAGCCATATGCATGTACTGCTGAATCACCTAGGTTCAGTGGTCAGCAGGATCCAGAACCATTATTTGAACATGCCCCAAGTATCAAAGTCCAGTATATCAGTGTCTGGAAGAATGTTTTGTTTGGCACTTCTCACAAGCAGTATGTTGCTAAACCATAGGCAATGCATATTAATTAGTATCATTACTAATCTTGAAGCAGAAAGGTCAAGAACTGAGTGGGCACTGACTACTCTTTATTTCTAAAGGAGTCTTTCTGGAAGCAGTCCCAGGAAGGTGGGTGGTACATAACATCCTACAACATTGCCCTGTTGCCAACATTTTTTTCCAGTTTCAAGTGTTCGGCAATTTCTTGAAGACAATTCAAGGCACCAATGATTTCCCCCAAATTTACATCAAACTATTTCAACTGGGACATAACATGCATATTTGTGTTTGTGGGATTTGGAGGTTTAATTATAGTCTTTAAGTGCCAGAGTTGAATGAAACTAAAGTAAAATCCATGCCCCAGAGGGCTGATGTCAAACAGGACTAGCCTCAGAAATTATGGATTTGTCATCTTAACCACTCAGAAGGCATTTGGGAGTTAGAAAGCAAGAGGGAGTTTCAGCATTGTAAATATATTCATTTGTAGAGATTCTCAGACAATTTCTGATGGGAAATTTGAACACCATGGACAATGCAATTGTGCAATTACAGTTCGGATGACATTAAACAAATTGCTGTCTTCATTCTAGACTAAGAGTCATGGACAGTGGCAGGATTGATGCATACCATGTTACTTTGGTCTCTGTTTATACATTACTTCATGTCCATGGTTCTTAGGGTTTGTGAACTTAAAATCTATGATGTTGTACATAATTCTTGACATAATGGCTGTGTAGAAAATACTGCTGTTTTCAGCTTTATGTATAATCCAGCACTACAGTTCCATTGTAATTTTCAGCTTAGACACTTATGGCCATCAATGGACTACTTATCTTTCTGAAACTGGACTACTTCACGTTTGCTTGAACTCCTTTGGAAATGGCCATGTGAACCTAAGATTGTTCTTCCTACAAGTATTTCATAGTAGGAAGATATATATAGGAAGATATAGGAAGATATAGTAGGAAGATATATATAGGAAGACATACGAAATATCGTAGTATTTCAGAAGAACTCTTGCAAGGCAGCTTAGAAACCTAAGTCAAGCTTGTAATTTGAAAGATTCTTTGAAATATACTTTTGTAATTTCCAGTCATTTCTGAAAGGTTGCATAGTACATTAACAATTTCTTACTGAAGTTCTATCAGTGAAATAGGGATTATTTTTTGAATTGTTCCTCTTTGGTTGGAACTGGTTGATCAGAACTAGTAGTCTGGAAATTTCAAGAACGGATATAATGACTAGCAACCAGATGCTCAGTCTGCTCAAATTACAGTAAAACTCATCAGGACACTCCGACAAAATGCAGGTGTCAGTTCAGTAGGTCAAGCAAACTTCTATTGTCTCAAATGTCTCATACAGGGTGAGATGTTGAGTGGTATTTTACTTAGTGATTAGTCCTATGATTACAAGTAGCAGAGTCTTGGCTATGGTGACACAGCATCTCAACTACTCAACATGGAAGACCTGAAGATGCATTAACTTGTATCACCCCCTCAAAGAACTCTTGTGATTCATAAGTAGGTCATCAAGCTAAGACTATTAGCTTTCCCTACTTTTCTTCATATTGCTGCAATTCTTACGATATCAAACACTTTTTTCCTCAGTCTTCCAACATACAGCACAGCCACTGACTTGTACCAGTTATGTTTATGTTAAACACACTTGAAAAGGTATTGAGACTTGATGTGAAGGCAATAGGACTTCAAAAACCATGCCACTTCTGCAAGAAATTGGTTTCAAATGTTAATTTTCCCATATCGTTAAAAATTTCAGATTCCTTCTGTAGTTTGAATTTCTCTGGTGTTAGTACTTTTTTTTTTGTTCTGCTTGCTTAAATATTCTTTTCAGTGTCTGATTTTCCCATTCCTTAGAAAAAACACTTTCCTTGTATTTTGTAGAAGGTAAAGAGATTCAGCTTTATCCTTCCTATTTGTCCAAATTATGATCTTTTCTAACACAAAAAATCTTTTACCTATGTTCTCCCCACTAATTCAGAATCATATAAAAAAAAAAACTACAATAACAACAGCTACTAATGCTGCATGAAGTATTTTAGCATCAATCATCTCACTTATGCAGTATACTGGAGCAATTGTTGCTTCGTGGATCTATTCAACTACGCTCAAGTAACAAAACACTGAATTAACAGTTTTTGCTACCGCTCTCAATGGAAAACTCTTATCCAGTTGTTTGGTCCCTTCAACACTTAATCCTTCCAGATCTTCATGGGATAGTGGTCAGATGTGGATGGATTTCTTTTGTTATGAATAAACTAACTTTTGCCATTACTAATCTCTGAAATTACTTCCAAACACAACAAATGTACAAAATAACTTCAGGCAAGGCTAACCAGTGCAATAGGGGGTTGGATTCCATCCTGATTCAGTACATCGTACATCTGCTCTTTCACCATATCTGTATCCTTCATCACAGGCAAACAGAAGTTGTTCAGAGTCCTTGTAAGACTGCTTTGAAGAACGTACATATCCATGTGGAATTACTGGCACATTACAGATAATCTCTGAAATTAAGAAAGACAAAATCCATATATTTTTGTTTATTTTTATTTGCTAAGAATAAATGCCTATTGGAATAAAATTTGTGTTTGTTTTTTCTTTTCTTTTTTCTTTTGACTTCACAAAAAACATTTGCATGTAGAAACTGAAACTTATTTGAGAACTCTTCAATGACCTGATTGTGAATGCCAGATGTGGCATAGTACAGCATCAACAGCAAATTGGTTCATGAAACAGATTTCAGGGCTTTGCTTTGGATTTTAATGGACCTCAGAATTAGTATATAGGGCAGAGGACATTCTAAAATAAGCAACTAGGCTAGCTGAAATTTAGGATTTTCCATTTTTCAGATAATCTCATTTCCTTGTAATTTCCAGCAAACCTAAAGCTCTCTTCTAGCCAGTAGACAATTCATTAAATCATGGCATCAACAGGAAAAAACAATTAAGCTATTGGGAAAACTGACACTAGAATGCTTCACTCTCTGTAAAAGAACCTCAGCATCCCCAGCGCCACGCCAAACCCAATAAAACCACTGAGATATTGCAGTTCCCAAGAACTGCATTCATAAAGCCAGAAAATATTCAAGGCACTGTTTCCTAGGCCACAGAACAGGACACCAAACAGTTCTCTTGGACTCCTTTGCTGGATTTACTTTGTATTTAGGATGAAATATAGCTCAGTGGCTATTATTTAATAAAATTCACTATATTCTGCAAATGTTACAAGCACATGTGTTTAATCCCACTTTATGCTGTTGAAATTATAATAAATGGGGGTTTCAAAGCAGCAAACTACAGCACTGAAATTGTGAAAAAACCATACATGTATCTGACATCCTGACATATGTACTCTGCTCTTCTAAACACATACTTCCCAATCAGGTAACATATAAGTGATCTAAGAAACTTGACGGACTGAATATTTAACAGTGATTGTTACCACAAATTTCCTGGGATTCGTTCTTACTTACTGACAGTCCAATCCCATACAATCTCTATTTGCAAAATGGGAGGAATAACACCATCCACCAGTATAAACTGCAGGTGGGGCAGGGTGGGGTCGACTGGCCAAAAGTAGTTTTGCAGCAAAAAACTTGGCAGTGTGATGGACAAGTTGAACAGGGGCTAGCAACGTGTCTTTGCAGCAAACAAATAAAACAGGGTCCTGGGCTCCATTGGGAAGAGTGTTGCCAGCAGGTCAAAAGAGGTGATTCTTCCCCTCTACTCAACACTGGTCAGACCACATCTGGAGTGCTGTGTCCAGGTCTGAGCTCCCCAATACAGTAAAGATATGGACATACTGGAGCAGGTCCAGTGAAGGGACATGCAGATAATTACGGAATTGGAAAATTTGACAGGTAAAAAGAAGCTTAGAGAGTCTAGAGAAGAGAAGGTGGGAAGCAGGGGGGGAAGGGAGGGGAGGATCTTAGTTATATGTATAAATTCCTGACTGTGGTGGGGCAGGCAGAAGTAAAGATGATGGAGCCAGACCCTTCTCATTGGCACCCAGTGACAAGCTGAGAAGCAGTGGGCACAAATTGAAATACAGGAAAAACCACTTAAACATAAGAAAAAACATTTTTACTTAAGAGTGGTCAAACACTGGAATGGGTCACCCAGAGAGGATGTAGAGTCTCCATCCTTGGAGATGGTCAAAAGCCAACTGGACATGGTCTTGAGCAACTTGCCCTAGCTGACTTCTTTGAAGGACCTTCAGAGGTCCCTTCCAAGCTCACCTATTCTGTGATTCTGTGGTTCTGTAAAAACATGAATTAACCTTCTAACTTGTCAAAACACATTAGTCTGAAGAAAGAAAAATCCATCATGATTTCTTTGTATTTTATATAGCCTAAGAATATGAGTGAATTAAAATCATACTAGTTTTTTTCACATAGATTCAAAACTGTTTGTAATTACTTTGGTTACATCAACACTGACGTGATTGAATCTTATGTAGACATACCAAAGACATACCAATTTCAAAGAAATTGACTGCAGCCTGGCAAAACATACAGCTTGTAGTGAAAATGCAGAACAAACAGATGGTCCATTATGACTATAATAGCACCAATATTCTCTGATTTCTCTTTCCTATCCTACTTCTTCTGCATATATGCAATGGAGGTTGTTTACAGATAAACTATGCTTAACTGCTGTGGAATAAAGTGAAAGCTTTGTAGTTTCCCATATGGTAATCAGTCCTTAGAAGTCTATGAGAGTAAAGCTTCTTATTTACAGATAATAAATAGTATCCTTTTTACCTTTGCACTGAGGGACATCACTATTCCATTTTCCATTAGAAGAGCAAATTATTTCTCTAAGTCCGACAAGCTTGTATTTTGCATTACATTCAAAATTTACAACCTGGCCAAAGGAATATTCTCGGTCAAGCTCAAATGCACCAGTCATAATTATTCTTCCATTTGCTGGTGCTTTTACAGGTAAACACTTTGCCACTGAAAAAAAAACAAAAGCAACAACAACAACAACAACAAAAAACAGACAACAAAACAAAAGGAAAGGGAAAAACAGCCATTTTGAGGTCTATTCTGTAAAACAAATTTACACACAAAAAAATTACAGAAAACTCACTGTAATTTCCTTACACATTTAAAAAATATACACTCTTGTTATGTGTTCAGATACCATTTGCAACAGATAAACTACAAAACCCTAAGCAAAAAGACAGATTGACAGGAGGAAGCTTGTAGACCGGCTCTCATCATCCTCTTCTTTGCCCTTGAAGGCTAAAGATAGAGCACCCTTCTAGATGACTAGATGACCTTCTGAGGTCTCACCCAATCTAAATTATCCTATGATCCTATGAATTCTGTGGATAGTTAGATGAGCCTTGACTGACACATAGGGCCATTAAACTTTGTCAAAATAGGTTAATTTACTTTAAAGCTATGCCTAACTGAATTTGCTATAGACAAATATCTGGAAAAGTGCTGTGTTATAGACTGACTACAACAGTTCAGTTACTAAAAATCCTAGTTGAGGATATCAGAACAATTGTATTACTAAAGTAAAGAAAAACAATGATGTCAGCCATAATTTAGATCTCTTGTATCTCCTAACTTTGTAACTGCAGAAAAAGGAAGAATTAACGTATGTCATCAGATATTTCTTATTAAGGGGGAAATGACTATCAAAGCTCATTCTTAAATGTTCACTGAGCATGTATGAAAGTGGCTGGTGTTTTGCTTACCATAGCTCCCACTTTTCTCTGACAACATTCTCCATCTTGTAAGCCATCTGTCTTTTCTATGAGCTTACATTTTATCTTCTAAGTTCCTCATAATTACAACATTATACAAATACTTTCTTTCATAGGCAATCATATTTTAGCCTAATGAAAACTCCTCAATCATGAAAGAAAAATCTTATGAGGAGTTTGAAATTGAAGTATCTTGGTGATGTGATAAAAAATGTTGGAAATCATTGCTCTGTACTGTATACCTAAAATTGAGGACATTTAAAATCCAGTAAACTAAATGTGAAATATCTGAGACCAAGGGAATGTCAAAACACAGACAACAAACTCCAGACAAGAGAAACATAACTACTTTTGTTTGTGATTCTTTTCTTAGAGACCCTTTCCTGACGTTAGATGCTTAGCCTAAAGAGAAATTTCACCACTGCAATTAAAAATTATCTTTGGGAAGAAAGGAAGGTTAATTTCATAATCACATGGGCTTGCAAATGGTGAAAAGGTTTCCAAAATCAGGGAAGTATCATCTAAGCCACCCAGTCTATTAAGTCCTGAGGTCTGGGTCTCTCTTGCTCTCATTCTTACTTACTGAAGTTTTTCCACAGTATGCTAATAGGGAGAAGAACTTATAAAAAAATCTTAATGGCTAGAATATTCACAAGGGTGAAAAACTAGCTAAAAACACACATGCTTTCACATACATCTGAAACACCTCATCCTAGCGGTCTTTTGTAAGCATGTTTTGCAGACATCTACTCTATCAGGGCCTTCAGGCGGGGCAGAGCTTTAAGTCAGTCTGGGGGTGACAAGACTCCGTTTTGTGAATGCTTTTTAACAAAAGCTTGAGATCTTATTAGGCTAAAATGGCTGAGCAGTCTTTGTAAGAGTTTCACTGCTGCATAACTTGAATTTAATCATATGTGAATTAATACTAGTAGAGAGATCACAGACTAGTTCTAGATAGTATCAGACAGACAAAAAGACAGTTTGATAAAGAATCAAATGTCAAATTCCATTTACCTTCACAGTGAGGGATGTCATTGCTCCATCCATCTGCCTGACACTCACGGTAATTTCTTTGGCTGAGCATCTGGTATCTTACCGAATAAAAAGTAAACAATGCTAAAATACAGTCTCATTATGTGATGGAAACAGCAGTGCTGCTGTTTTTGAAGCAAAGGAAGTAGGTTTCATGTGTTCTAGCACAGACTAACCCAAACATGACAAAACCAAGTATTTTTTTTTGGCCTTCTTCTTCACTATTTTGTTTCTTTTAATTGCATATGGCAAAAAATATGAAAAAAACTCAGAAAATAGGAAGTAATCAGTAAGATGGCTTCTTCATTACAAAGATGGCAAGCTTTGGCTACATAAGAAATAACCTAGGTGTAATTTACACAATCAATAGCAAGCAGAGTAAAACTGCTGTTGCATGTGCCCTAGTATGACAGAAAGCCATGTGACAGCATCAAAATAGGACTTAATCCAAACCATATGTATCTCATGCTTTGATGGGTTAGTATTATCTTAGGTTTCAGGGCAACACGGCCACAACGCCATGACTTCTGCTTTGTCTGAAATGTAGTCAAAGGAGGAACAGCTAGTGTAAAAGGACAGTGAAGAACTGTCAGAACTGAAGGGATTAAGGAGAATATTGATTTTGGAACTCTTTTTGTGGAACACAGACTAGACTCCAGTAATACAAAGACTGCAAAAGCATGGCTAAACTACTGTACCATGCTTACAGCTGATTTGCATTTCAAGAGGAAAGAATTCAGTCATAGGCATACTTAACTAAGCACAATACTATGTATTTGCCTTGCCGCAGTTTTCATTGGAGAAGATTAACAAAGGAGGAAGAGAGAATTTCTTTCAAGCAGTCAGTGAAGACATGTTAGTGAGTCTACCAGAAATGTCTTTCTTCAAACATTTTTACAATCTATTTTACTTCATAATGCACAAAAATTATTTAAGCAGGAATTATGAGTTGTGGTTCTGAATAGGAGATTCTGCTGAATGGCCTGATGACTTTGCTAACATGACTGCATCATGACTGCCTACTGAGAGCACTGATTCCAGGATACAAAGCTGCATTTCCATCTGAACTGGCTGGTGGAGTCATGAGGAAGCTTTACAGCAGATCACTATTTTTCTAATTGGACAGCCATGATATCAAGTTAGCTACAGCCTTACGTATTTTAGACACGTTGGATGACAGCTTCAGGTGCATGAGTTCACTTACTCCAATAGCACCAGACATGAGAAAGAGTTATCTTTAGTATTACTGTAATTGCAGAAATTTAAATTAAACAATAACCAAGCATTAAATATTAGTAAGTTGCAGCTGCACTACAAACAACAAATCTATTATTGACACTTCTTTTAACATTAACACCTTATGTTAACTCCCATATATTGAATTAAATAAGTGTTACCCATCATTACATCTGTACTCAACTCTGGCACCAAATACAAATTCACTTCCACTGGTAAGTTCAAAGTAACCAAACTCAGTATCTCCAGGATGTCCACAGGGCTTATCTGGTAAAAAAAAAAACAAAAAAACAAAAAAACAAAACGAAGAAGAAACCTGCTCCAATGTGATTCAGAGAAAATGGACAACCTCGTGATCAATTTTGCTGTCTAGTGTGGCCTATCCTGAAAAGGGAACGTGATCACTTAACCTGTGTCAGATCATCTCTTTTCTCCTTCCACCTGCACCTTGCTAGTGTCAGTATCTACTCGTTGGGTAGCAGTATTTACTAAAATATATTACTAACAAGCAACACCAAATTTTGTATAATCTGAAAGCTCCATGATCACTGAGTAATTATACAAATATATATAAAAACTGAGAAGGTGACTAAATAAAAAATGTAAAAGAAACTAGTAACAACTTTATTAATTTTTACTTATGAATTGTATTCATCTCTGTTTGAATGACAGCTGGCGTTTAATTTTATATTATCAAACCAAACATTTATATTCTGCTAGTAAAAGTTTTGTATGTTAGATATGTAACAAAAAAAGTTTGTGTGTCTAAAATTTTTTTGTGTTTTAAGCTCATTTATTACAGAAAAGTATCTGCTGACTAACAATAATAAACTTCAATTTCTTCACTAATGAATTCTGTATGAGGGTGTGAGATACTTCTAAACTCTTAACACAGTTTACTAGAGATAATAAATAGCAGCTCTCATCTGAATAATGAATTTTCCTTCACAGATTAAAAGAGAAGCCAGGGAAAAAGAGTGTCCTACTTCCAAGAAATATATCTTTCATAGAACTAGTAGAAGAAACTGAAAGAAAGACAATACTGTCTCTTGACTTACATTCAGAAGCTAGGTTAGTGCTTTATTCTGCTTAGACTGTACATTTCAACTGCATTAGACTTGTTCTAAAATTTTAGAAGCAAGCTCCTAAGAACTTAATAACTTAACTTAGTAACATAAATCTAGTCTAGATAACATAGGGTCTTAACACAAGGTCTTAACATTAAGTCTTAACATAAGGCTGGCCTAAAGTCAGATCTTCTCCTGTAAAGAAAAAAAAAAAAAAAAGATAATCCTTCGATCTGAAGAAAAGGAACTTCCAAAATTTTTTCCTTATGCATACATACTTTTTAGAATGGTATTTTAAAGGATGCTGAAATTAGTAAGCTACAGGTAAATATACAATGGCAATTTCACATTGACATCACTGGCAAGGAATGTGATCTGTCAGGTTAAATGTTTGCACAAATTTTGCACAAATACTTACTTCTGCATTCTGCCCCTGGAGGGTGTTGCTTCCATGCTCCGTCAGCACACTCGAACACAATTCGTCCAAGTTTTATATATCCAGGCCGACATCTGTATGTTACTTGAGTACCATGTGGATAGGGAGGTTTGTCCCATCTTTCAGCAGGCACTTCTTTAACCCTCCTAGGAGGAGGTTCTTCACAAGCTAAAAATTGTAAATAAAAATATTGGTGCCTGAAGTACATGCTACAAACGCCAAAATAATTTTACAATGGAAAATGTAGCAAGAAATCCTGGGGACATTTGTGATCAAACGAACATATGTTTTCTACTTAATTATCACAAAATAGGAAACTGCCAAGAATCCACATTTTGTAGGAATATGAACAGACATTTAGGAGGACATAAGAATAGTCAAGCAAATGCCAAGAAACCACATGAGAGAGTCATAATTCATGAAATAGGTTTTAGTTACAAAGACTGAGACGACATTAGTGCCCTGGTTCTAACCACAGACATCTCTTACCCTTCCATTTGCAGGAGCTCCTCCATGCCTGTCCTTCCATTACCACAGAGAACAGCTCTGCGCGCTCTGCTGAGTTTGCTTTCAAACTATTTTCTTCTGCAGCCACCACCGTCCTTACTGATAGTAAATTCATGTGCCATTTGATCAAGTTCTGTCAAATCTCCCCTCACCTTTACATTGCCTAAACTTTCTCTCCAGGCTGAGATCACCTGACGTTCCCAAACTTACTTCCTCCTGCCCATGAGATTACTTCTTATAACAAGTTACTTATTACACGATATAATTAATTCTGGGTATTCACTTCGACCTCATTTTGGCTTAATTCAGGGGGGGTGGATGGTGTTATCTGATATTTCTCATTAGCTAAATAATGTACAGTCCTTCCCAAAAAGCTCCTTCCTGGACCTTCTCCATTGTACAGCCACAGAAAGGTACAGCCAAGCCCATATGAATTACAAGAAATTATCCTGAATTATTTTATTAAGAAGTTCCTCGACAGCTTGAAAATGAGAAAAATCAGAGTAAAGGGGAAAGAAACAAATGTTGGGAAGCTGTCAAGGAAAGACTAAATGATCTTTGTTAAGAAACATTTTGTTTGTTTGTTTATAATAATTGACCTAATTTCAGTGACTAATTCTCTGTGCTTGGATCACTGAAATACAATTATTTTAAAGGCTGAAGCTTTACCCAGAGTAACAGAGTCTGTACAGTCTAGCTAGTTAGATGCAATGAAGTCTGTTTTACATCTGAACATGAAAGGTGAGAATTCATCAAGGATACATAAAACAATCTCTGAGAAATGAAGCCTTGGAAAAGAAGTGAAACATCTGTATAGAAAATAAATGGGAGAAGAAATGTCCACCAGGGAAGGAAATTTCTTGGTGAGTAGATTCGTTACTCAGGAGACAGTTGGCACAAAAGTCCTCTCACCAGTTTAGTTGTAAGGCCACAGGCTTGAGAAAGCAGCAATACTTTCACTGAAGCTTTCCTATGGACTGTCCAGGTGCTACCTGGAAGTGGGACTACAGTAAAAATATTTAGGATCTTTCCTCACGTGAAGGATGTGGAGTTATGGCTTGCTTGCTGAACTAAACTGTGGAGATCACAACCACAGATTAAGTAGCTGTGATTTCTAATACAAAAAGTGAGCAGATTAAATACTCATTCTTCCACGTCAAAATGTGGAAAGTGAATTTTTCTTTAGTTGTACAAAGACATACACTTGAACACTCACTGGTTTTATTTCAGTCAGTGGAGTACATACCAAATTAGAGGCATAATTTTAGAAAAATGTTTAAAAATCAGGAAAAAGTTTTGTTACAAGAAAGAAAAAAAACCTGTATAATTTTAAGTATTCTGTAGCTATGGCATTTTGAAAATATAAAGAAAAGAATGTTAATTGTGAGATCTTTAAAATAACTGTATTTTAAAGTAGCTAGAAGAAGTAGACAAGCTTTGACGATACTACTAAGGTGCAAAAGGAAGAGTATGCCCACATGTTTGCATTTTTTCCAACTACTTTAATAAGTATGCTCCCTCCTACGAGAGATTACATCTGAGTAAAAATTATTGCTTCTGTCCGCTAGAGGGTACTACCCTACTATCAAAAAAGGTAGCAGGGACTTCTGCTTAGCAAGCTTAAGACACATTCACTTTTTAACATTTTTGCCAATTGCAGGAATAAGAGAAATTAATACGACTCCTCTAGCTAGTTCTGTCTTTCAAATGTGTTTAAAATGGTTAGTTTACCCCAAACTCCCTTCTTCTTAATGGTGAGAAAAGGAATTTTTCTAATTCTACATATTTTTCATTAGAGCTCATTAAAATTAGTGCTTTCAGATTGCAAGCTGAGAAAGCACACTCCGAATTCTATGTTTTTAAAAATACACTATTGAGTACAGAGAGAGCTTCTTGGGTCTATTCCTCCCTTACTTCTGAGTTGTATTATATTTTTATTGTCTGTTGTGCAGAATGAGACCTCTTAACGCCTCCTTGTTACATTAAAAAAAAAACCAAACCAAAAAACCCACATGAAAGATATAGTCTCCTGATAGTCTCTTCATCATTACTAAGACATGATTCTTTCTGGGTTTTATTTCAACTCTCTCTGATTGTTCTTTACCACTCCTGTCCTGATGTCAAACTATCATAGAATCATAGAATGGTTTGGGTTGGAAGGGACCTCAAAGACCATCTAGCTCCAACCCCCCTGCTGTGGCCAGGGACACCCTCCACTAGCCCAGGTTGCCCAAAGCCTCATCCAACCTGGCCTTGAACACTTCCAAGGATGGGGCATCCACAGTGTCTCTGGGCAAAAAACTATGTGTTACCATCAAGTGTTACAGTATGTATGTGTATTTCTGATTACAGCTAATTATTTTTTTAAATGCAGTTTCTTAGTAGCTTGGGAAGAAAAATCTGCTGACAGGATGTACTTCAAAAGCACTCACCATGTGTACTCACCAAAATTAGGAGGGTTTTATTTTTATATTAGAAAGCATGCACTAAATGCATACCTTCCAATCCTTTAGTGAGAGACCAGGAGAGCTGGAATTAATCGTTTAGTATTTATATGTGACTTCACCTCAGTTAGAAATAGCTCAAGCTGCTTTCTTGCCATCATTATGCTGGTTGCAACTTCCATAGCGTCAAGTACAAACTACGACTTCAGGTAGAAGTATTTTTCAGCCCTTGTGCAAAAATCCAGCTCTTGAACAACTCACATCATAGACTTTCAACATGAAGCTTGAACTAAGAACCCTGCATGACCCATGGTAATAGTTGTTCTGGATAAATCAAATATTGCTACATTGACATTCCTTTGCAATCTCTCTAATCTAAAGAGACCATTGTGAAAAGGAATTGCAAATTCAGGCAAACTTTCTTCTCAATTCCAGGACTTTTGAATTTTTCAAAGTAAAATCCATCAGATTGTTTTGATTAAGGTCTTCATAACCTTCACCAAAATTAAAAACAACCTGAACTGAGCGAAGACACACTAGCTTAAAAACACATAGCACCCTACAGTGCTATGTAAAGAAATCCAAACACCACTACAGTCTATGTAAAGAAACTCAAACAGAAAGCAAAAGAATTACTAAACATACATTAAACAATATAAACACAGTATCAAGAAAAATAAATTGAACTGAGAAGCAGAAAATAACAGGCTTCTGAAAAGATACCCAGAATACTAGCTACCTCTTTAAACATGTACAAAAGCATACCTGTATATATTTATCTCATTTAATGGATTAAAACCAGTCTTTCAGTCAACAGATATTTTGTAAGCTTTTCAGTCAATTTAGTAATCATTCCTCTTTCTCAGATTATCTCACAGATTATTCTAGATAGAAAGAAATGCATATTTATTGAATATTTTCTACATTAAACTACCAGCTGTTTACAGATTTTAGATGTTAGAATAATTAACAAACATAACTAATAATAAATGAGTTGTCTGGCCCTAGTTTATAGGGATACTAACCACTAAAAAAGTTTTGCAACAGATGAATAACAGCAGTAGTTATCCAAATAAACAGGTGAAATAATACCTATGACAGGATACTAAATACTAAAGGTGCTAAATACTGCCAGAAGAAATCTCAGGTAATGTTGTCAGAAGTCCATTAAAATAGTCTACAATGCAAACATTTTATCTACATATTGTTTTAGTTACCATCTTCACATAAACTTTAAGAAAATGTTTGGGTTATTTTTTTTTTTTTCTTCACATTAAAGCTTACCTCTTTCTGCAGTACAATACATCCAACACAAGAACAGAGCTGTATAGCTCAGGAACGACATCCTAGAGATTCGGAAACACAGCAAACACATTTAGTATTGGACTCTATTTTTTTTGGTTGCTTTGTGTTATTTCCACTCCTATTTTACTCACTAACTGCTCCAGGGACTGACCTTGCAAAGCATTTATACTCTGATTTCAGCAGTCACTTCCCCTAAACCTCTTGCAACATACAAGTGGTTTTTTTTTTTCCTCTCCAAACTTTGCTAAATGGATAAATAAATAGACATCTGGCAATTTTGGTTGACAGTGTCTTTCCCTGTGGTCTGCTTGTTTCTACATCATACCTCATTTCTTTATATTAAACCCTTCCATACTCAGATAAGCTTATTTCTTCTCATATCCAAAAGAAGTTGTACAAATAAATTTTTTTGTGATTCCTGGTGTCTTATATGCTTAGTTAAAAAGCAGAAAATTTTCGGTTACCAATTCTAAGAGATGGTCTTAGTGAAAACTGACATTCAGCTGTTCCACTGACAAGCCCTCTTCCAGACAGCATAACATCTCTTCCTTCTCCTCCCTCTTTCCCGTTCTCTTGCCAAGCAACTCATACGTGGAGAACAAACTCTCACTCAGCTCCATAACCCTGTGATGATCGGTCTGCATCCATTTTGCAGCTACTGGTGATCAGTAAAAATATTGGGTTTGCATCTACCTAAGCTGAGTTGTAAGAAACAGCTCCTCACAGAACTTCACTGCCCAGATCTTTAATTCCTTTTGTTCTGTGGTAGAGAACCGTGTGCTGCTGCAGACAGCAGTGATCTAATTATACCAAGACAGTCCCACCAGTATTACTGCACGTGTGTGCATTTATACGCTTCTGTACCAGTTGGGTGCAAAAGCTAGTTTCCTTGCAGTGGTGAGGAACTTCAGATGGTTTAACCTTCCCTGTCACAGCAGCGGTACTAACTGCTTTTCAAACATAGCAGTGACTCTACCGCTTTCTGATTCCTCAAGCGCTGCCGGAAGCTCAGAGAGCACAAAAAACATTGAGGCAGAGTGCTAGGAGGCACACAGATTCCAACCCAAAGACAGTGGCTCAAACCAATTAGCTGTAAAAAAATCCATGCTGCAGGCATGGGTTCTATAATTTCTCTAATTTTAAGTGTTGTATCTTCTGATGTCATGAAGTTCGAAGTGGTTCAGGTTTTGTCAAACTGCTTTTGGGTTATGAAACCACTTGCCAAATCATTACGGGCTTGAAACACAAAGATACTTTCGGCTACAGCTGAACCAAAAACTGGAACGGAATTGAAAATTTACCATGAATTTCCTGTTCCATATGAATTCCGTAACAGGCAATGTTAAAACAATTTAAGCTAAAAAAGAACATCAGCACACAAGAGCATACAGGTATGAACTTCCTATGAATAATTTTAAGCTGAAAATTAGAAGATTCACCTAAGTAGTGAAGCTTTGAAGTAACTGTTGTATAGGCGTAATGCAGGCCTATATAAAGAAACCATCTTTGATCACAAAGCAAGGGACCAGACTCAGTCCTTTCCAGTCTTGTGTTTGTGATCTTCTTAAGTCATTGATTAAACTTACCCTAAACAGAAGGAAATAAAATCAGGAACTTAATATTTCTTCCCTTCCTCACCTCTTCCATGGGCTATCAATTCATTCAAAACTCATGTCTTTAATCCTGTCTGACTAAGTCACCTCCAGCCTCTAACAAAACAGAGTGCATAGGCCTCAGGACCTCTAAGGTAGCCAGAAAGTCATCTCTAGAGTACCCTTACCTCTATTGATAAGAAAGACAAAAATGTCTAAGTAAGTCGGCAACCAAAGGCAGATGGATTTTACCTATGGAAGCAGAGCTATTGCTTTGAGAACTGGTGTGGCCACACTCAAATACTGCTGTGGGCACAGCCAGACAGCCAAAATACCACCACATATTCCCTGCATTAGCAAAACTGCCTGTCAAGTTATAGGATCATAGGAAAGTTCAGGTTGGAAGGGACTTCAGGAAGTTACCTTGTCCAAAGCTCCTGCTCAAAGTAGTCAGTTATACGGACAGACCAAGTTACTCAAGACTTTATTAATTCCCTAATACTGGGGGGTTAAAACCAAAATCCAGAGTGTTTGTTCAAACCTAAATAATTTTGAGAACAGTGTTTGGAAGCCATTTTGTGATAGGAAGAGAGATCTGAGGAAGTCAGTGTATTCCAGCAGGGAACTAGTAATGACTAGTAATAGAGGCTTAATTAGTCACCACTGGAATACAATCTCTGACCAGTATAATTTCAACACATTCTAAGAACATGCTTGCTCTCATACCTGAGTTTAACGATTATCATTAGAGCCTGCAGAATTCTAGAACCAGTCACTGTTTTGCCCAAAAATCTTCACAAAAGGGTCCTATCCCACTATATTAATGGTGAGATTATCTTTTCATTGTCAACGGTTGTCTCTCCTCTCACTGGCAGACAACTTCTCTAACTCATAATGACATTACACATCACGTAATATCTACAATGACAACCTAATGGTATGACAGGGAAAAACTGCACACAGTTCACTTAGTTTAAACCGAACCACAATCAAATTGTTTTATTGATTTATTAATAGCACATAATTAACTGGCAATCAGTGAAATATACATTCAGGTTCAGTATCGGCAATACAACAGATAAGACACTGTTAATAGACAAAATGCTAATAAACACCTAATGAATTTCTAAATGATTTTTCTTCACTAATCCCCCAAAGTTCTAACCATGCACACAAAGTTGTGCACCCACCCATGGTTATACACACAGTCTCCCTCTCACACATACCTTCTACAGAAGAGATGTGGGTGCTTAATGTGTATCTGTGCTGCACCTTACAACCTGTGAATGCATACGCTGGGGAGAAAGCACCACACAAGGTCACAAATGCACACCCAGTTGTGAGTCCCTGCCTGTTGCACCTGCACCGTTACTGCCCGAGCTGGATGCCGGCTGCTGGCAAGAGTCAGATAGGGAGGATGCTCTGCCTGACCCAAACAGAGGTTTTGATGCCCGTGGGTGAACACACAACAGTGTCAAACACAACTCCTCTGGTTTTGGCTGCTTGCTCTGTTCCCTCTGTTCTCCCTACCACTAGAAAGTTTCAATTGTCCCTTGCATTTCTTTACAAATTGGCACATCCCTTGTTTCAAAACTCACTCTGTAACTCCCTGGTTACTGTTTAATCTGGCCATTGGTCGTCATCCCCTTTCATATGATCAGCTGTAGCATATGCACTCTCAGACAGTTTTGGACGCTTGAATTCACATTTCTATCTTCAAGGCTGTTGATGTTCAGGCCATTTTACCAAGGATAGGCTATGTGAGCACCCTTGGAAACAGAAAAACAGGATTAGCAATTCTTTGAATATTGCTTTAGCTTCTTCTAATGCAAATTAGATACCAGCATGTGTTCGGGCAGGGTTCTGCAGCAATGACAGGAGAGATATTCTGTCCAATTCTTAAACTATTTTGTAGCACACTTCTGATTACTCTTGTTTAAATAAGTACCACATCATTCTCCTGCCTTGGTGCTCTGTGCTCAAAAGCAAAGTTAAAATTACTTGAAAAGGTGTTCTTTGCATAAAAAAGATGCTCTCCTATATAAAGGCAGCTGTCAGTATCTCTAGTTTTAAATGAAGTCCTCCTACTCAGAGCCAAGTGGAGATTTACTGGAAGGCAATTCAGAGGTTACCACCATTTCCCACCAGCTCTCTCTTCCCTGCTGCAGTGCTGCTATTCCTCCTGTTCCTAAAGTTTCTTTCCAGGTCACCACAGATGTCAGAGGACTGTGGTGCACCAGGATCATGGGTAGCCCTGAAGTGCATACTGTTCTTTTTTGGCTCTGTGCTATGATGGTTTAGCATATAAGAATACAAAGATCAGGTCATATTGTGTGCCCCGTGCCTGAAACAGCCTTATAAGTCACTGGGCTATGGAAAACATGTCCTCTGCCTACTAAGATTTCAGTTTAATTACACATGACAAAAAACCCCAAACCTCCAAATTTTTTTTTAATCCTTTCAGGGGAATTAGCAAATTGGAGATTTGTCACATTTCTCCTTCTGCCCTAGCTTTGCAGCTTTACAGTGACCTTAAAGCTCTGTTCTCACTTTGG